TTGATAGCCCAAGCCCGCACCGATCTGAGGAACGCCCGAGGGCGAGCTGAGACTGCAGAGAAGGGCTGGAATGAAGCTCAGCAGAATCTGGTCAGCTGGGCCTATCTGGAGAAGAAGGTCAAAGAATTTCCCGAATTCGATGGCCTAGCTCGTGACCTGGCGGACAAGGGCTTTTATTACGCTATCAACCGACTCGACACTGCTTGCTCGGAGGAGGCCATCGCCGCTGTCGAGCTGGAATATGAGTCCATCTGGGTGGACTGCCCGGCTGAGGCCAGCAAAGAGGCTGAGGCTGCTGGTGCCGAAGCAGGGCCCAGCAAGCCCGCCGATCCTCCTCAGGAGTAGATCGCTTCGGCCCTCGGTTGTTTCTTGCTTTCTCTCTCTTTTTTATCGACCCAATTTTGTACTGAGCCGGGGCATATATACCTCGGCTCTCCATTAAACTTTAGTTTGAATGAAATGACGTTGTTTTGTTTAGATCCGAGTAACTCTTTCTGCGGTCCTTATACTTGTTGAAATTTGATGAAACCTTAATTATACCTCGGCTCTTCATCAAACTTTAAATTCAATGAAAACAAACTTCGTCCAAACTTGAGTTGTTCTCTCCGAGGTCCCTATACTTGGAGAAATTTAATTAAACTTCAATTTTAGTTTGGCCTCGTTGTTTGAGTTTCTCAAGTCCTCATAATTTCTTACTTACACAACGGCTTACGAGCCAAACACTTCAGCTCGGCGGTGTGCATTTGGGATAACCAGGTTCCTACGAGTTGACCATTGCTTCGCGCGTTTGTATTATTGTAGGTTGTTCAGCATAGGTCATACCACGTAGTCTTCCTTGGCCTCCATTTGACGTAGCTCGGTAGTAGTAGGCGGCGTTAACGGATAAAGTCAAATTTTGCACAAGTCATTGGAGGTCAGCTTTCATTAATGAATGATATTACACGTCGGATTACACGCATCTCATTGATAATAAACTCGCAAATGCTCGGCGTTCCATGGGTGGGGGAGTTGTCTCCCGTTGAGGTCGGACAGCAGATAGGCTCTAGGTCGGAGTATTTTTAGGACTCTGTACGGACCTTCCCAGTTCGGCTCGAGTGCTCCGACATGCTGCATTACCTTCTTGAGGACAAGGTCGCTAGGCTTGAACGTTCTGACTTTTACCCTGGCGTTGTAGTACCGAGCCATACGGTTCTGATATTCTGCTAGCCGGAGCTGGGAGTGAGATCTTTTCTCCTCGAGGAGGTCAAGATTCACGAGTAGGGCTTCACTGTTGGCTTGCTCGTCGAAATTCTCAACTCGGGGCGTTGGCATGCCGACTTCCGCAGGGACAACAGCCTCCGACCCGAAGGCTAGGCCGTATGGCGTCTCGCCGGTAGATCGGCGGGGTGTAGTTCGGTAAGACCACAATACTTCTGGTAACTCTTCTGCCCACTGACCTTTCAGAGACTCCAGTCTCGTCTTCAGACCACGCTTAATGATCTTGTTGATGGCTTCAACTTGCCCATTAGACTGCAGATGGGCAGGCGACGAGCTGAGGTGACGTATGCCGAGCTGTTGACAGAATTGATTAAACCGGGCACCGTCAAACTGCTTTCCATTGTCAGTAATGATAGCNACCACGCTTGATGATCTTGTTGATGGCTTCAACTTGCCCATTAGACTGCGGATGGGCAGGCGACGAGCTGAGGTGACGTATGCCGAGCTGTTGACGTATAGCGTTCGGTATATTGAACCGACATATTATGCTCTTCCATACAAAGCTGACGACCTTTACCTCGATAAAAGACGCCAGAGGTTCCGCTTCCACCCATTTGGTGAAGTAATCTACAGCTACTATGGCGAACTTCAACTGCCCCTTCCCCATGGGTAGTGGGCCGATCAGATCTATCCCCCACTGAGCGAAAGGCCAAGGGCTTGAAATCAGCGTCAGCATCTCCGGAGGTTGTCTCAAAATGCTCGCGAAGCGTTGACATTTGTCACATGTTTTGGCGAACTCCTTGGTGTCGCGCTCAATCGTCAGCCAGTAGTAGCCCTGGCGGACGACCTTCGCGGCCATGGACTTCGCTCCTCCATGGTTTCCGCAAACCCCTTCATGAATCTCGCGCATGACATACCTCGCCTCTTCTGGGTCGAGGCACCGCAGTAATGGTAGGGAATATCCCCTTTTGAAAAGCTTGCCTTCTTGCATCAAGTAGTGGGCAGCTTGGCGTCGGAGCTTTCTGGCCTGGCTCGGATCGGCGGGGACTGAGCCATTGACCAGGAAGTCCTTAATTGGGTCCATCCATGTAGGCTGAGCTGACGTGATCTCCATTAACTCAGGCTGGTCGACGGACGATTCAGTAAGTATTTCAACTGGAACCGTTCTTGGTAGGTCGGTATCGTATGCCGAGGCCAGGCGAGCCAGTACGTCGGCGTTGGAGTTTTCGGACCTCGGCACCTGTCGAATCACATAGTCCTCAAACTGGGCGAGGAGCCATCGGGCTTTGGCCAGATACCTCTCCATACGAGCTTCCTTTACTTGGTATTCCTCGGTAACCTGATTGACAATCAGCTGGGAGTCGCTGAGAATCAAAAGTCGCCTCACGCCCATCCCTCTGGCGACTTTTAGTCCATTTATTAGCGCCTCATACTCGGATTCGTTGTTGGAAGCTCGAAAACCAAACCGGAGTGCGTACTCAAACCGAAGACCGCCGGGGCCGAGGAGCAGTATACCTGCCCCACAACCTTTCTCATTGGAAGAACCATCCACATAGAGTGTCTGAGTGTCCACTGGTCGCGGACATCGCCCCCTGGCCTCGGTGGGGTCAGCTCGGCAACAAAGTCTGCAGCTGCCTGACCTTTTAACGCCGCTCTCGGCTCGAAGGCGATGTCGTGCTCACTGAGCTCTAGTGCCCACTTCATCAGGCGACCTGACGTTTCGGGCTTGTAGAAAATCTGCCTTAAGGGGAAGTTTGTCGGGACGATTATTTTGTGTGCCTGGAAATATGGTCGTAGGCGTCGCGCCGAGGTTACCAAGGCTAGGGCCAGCTTCTCAACACAGGGGTAACGAGCCTCGGCCTCGGTCAATGATTTGCTCGTGTAGTAAACAGGGCTCTGCCGCCCTTCCGCCTGCCTGATAAGTACTGAGCTCACTGCATTCTCCGACACTGCTAGGTACAGGTAGAGTACATCGCAGGGCAGCGGCTTTGACAACAAAGGGGCCGAGCTGAAGTATTGCTTGAACTGCCGAAGTGCAGCTTCGTAATCGTCGGTCCATTTGAACCGACCCTTTTTCCTTAGTATTCGGAAGAAAGGGTGGCACTTGTCCGTGGAGCGAGACACAAAGCGATTCAAGGCTGCAAGTCGGCCGTTCAACCTCTGCAGCTGTTTAACATTCCTCNGCTTCTCAACACAGGGGTAACGAGCCTCGGCCTCGGTCAATGATTTGCTCGTGTAGTAAACAGGGCTCTGCCGCCCTTCCGCCTGCCTGATAAGTACTGAGCTCACTGCATTCTCCGACACTGCTAGGTACAGGTAGAGTACATCGCAGGGCAGCGGCTTTGACAACAAAGGGGCCGAGCTGAAGTATTGCTTGAACTGCCGAAGTGCAGCTTCGTAATCGTCGGTCCATTTGAACCGACCCTTTTTCCTTAGTATTCGGAAGAAAGGGTGGCACTTGTCCGTGGAGCGAGACACAAAGCGATTCAAGGCTGCAAGTCGGCCGTTCAACCTCTGCAGCTGTTTAACATTCCTCGGCGCTTCCATCTCGAGGATAGCCCTTATCTTGTCCAGATTTCCTTCAATTCCGCGTTTGTGGACCATGAACCCGAGGAACTTTCCCGACGAGACCCCAAAGGCACACTTGCTCGGGTTGAGCTTCATCTGATAGTTTCGAAGCACGCTGAAGGCCTCTGTTAGGTCGGCTAAATGGGAGCTCGTCTACTTGCTTTTCACCAACATGTCGTCTACATAAACCTCCATGTTGCGTCCGATCTGCTTGGCGAACATCATGTTGACCATTCTCTGGTAGGTCGCCCCAGCATTCATTAGACCGAACGGCATGACATTGTAGCAATACAACCCTTGGTCGGTAACGAAGGTGGTATGCTCTTGGTCGGGCACATGCATCCGAATCTGATTGTACCCGGAGTAGGCATCCATGAAGGAGAGGAGTTCATGCCCTGCCGTTGCGTCGACGAGCTGATCTATCCGAGGCAGGCGAAAACTGTCTTTCGGGCACGCCTTGTTGAGGCTCGTGAAGTCAATACAGACGCGCCACTTGCCGTTGGACTTTCTAACTATAACTACATTAGATAGCCACACGAGGTAATGAACTTCTTTTATGAATTTAGCTCGTAGCAACTGCTCGACTTCTTTACAAATTACATTGCTTCGCTCGGCGTTGACAGGCCGACGCTTTTGCCTTACAGGCCTATAGCTAGGATTTACATTAAGTCTATGCACCATTATACTTGGGTCTATGCCCGACATGTCGTCATGAGACCATGCGAACACATCAGCGTTTCCTTTTAGAAAACCGACAAGCTCCTCTCTCACCTCGGCCCCCAGTCTGCTGCCGATGCTGACCTGCCTTTCCGGCCCCAACAGGGGGACAAGTTCTAGTTCTTCAGCTGGGGTGCCACGGCTCGGCTCTGGTTCGTCGGCACACAGCTTGGGCGCGCTCGTGACCACCGCACAAGTGGCTGTTCCCTTCATCGCAGCGGCGTTGCATTCTCTGGACGTCTTCTGCTCACCCCGGACTGTCGCAACTCCAGCCGAGGTGGGATACTTCAAGACCTGGTGGTAAGTAGACGGGACTGCCCTGAGATCATGAATCAAGGGCCGACCAATTATGGCGTTGTAMGCGGAGCTCCGATCTATCACAACAAATTCTGCGACTTTAGTTATTTGTTGATCTCCCTCGTCGATGGTAACAGGGAGCGAGACACATCCTTCCGCACTCACCGACTCCCCTGCAAWRCYGACCAATGGCGTCGGGCTGAGCTTCAAGTGCTTCTTCTCCCACCCTAAGGCCGTGTAGGTCGAGAACGATAAGATGTTGGCYGACGCTCCACCGTCGATGAGAACTCTTCTCACCTTCACGTGATCTATGAGTGGGGCGATTACTAGGGCGTCGTTATGGGGCATGTGCACTCCTTCGCCGTCTTGGTCGTCGAATAAGATCGGCATCCCAGGCTCCTTGGGGTA